GAAGCTGCAGGAAGAGTATCCAGAGCTGTTGGGAGAAGAAGTGATAGAGCGGGCCATGTGTGGGACGGTGAGAGATGTGAGACACATAACACGAGATATGGTGCGCAGCTGGGGGCACGTGGACCTACTGGTGGCAGGGTGGGAGTGCCAGGGGGTATCGAGGGCGGGAAAGGGAAAAGGCATGGAGGATCCTAGGGGGGCACTGCTGCTAGACCTGCTGCGCAATATGGACTGGATAAAGGAAGGACAGGGGGAAGTAACATACCTACTGGAGCACTTGGATCTGGAAGGGGACTTGAGAGAGCCCGTGAGAAGGGTGAGGGAACTGGTGACAAAGCGGTTGGGGAAGGGAGTCAGATGTGATGCAGCAAGGCTGGGGGCACGAGCGCACTGGGTAAGGCGCTATTGGCAGAACGTAGTACTGGAAGACCAGCTGCAGGAGGAGCTAGATGGGGTGAAGCGGTCATGGGGCAGGACAGTGAAGGATAAACTGGAGGTGGGGAGGATGGCGGCACCAGTGAAGAAGGGCAGACATGAGACACAGTGTCCGTGTAACAAGGTGGGGGAGGAGCGAAGGGCGTGGCCAACTCTGGTGGCCTTTGAGGGAGCAGCGGGATTTAGAATGGAGAATGGCGAGGCAGGGGAAGGGATGGTGTACGGCCACCGAAAGAAGCGGTGGGAAGAACCAACAGCGCTTGAGCGAGAGCTGGCGATGGGGTACGGGGAGGACATAACACGGGCGGAGGGAGTCACAGAGCAAGAAAGGCGCAGCGTGCTGGGAAGGGCAATGGATGGACAGGTAATGCTGTGGCTGACGCGCAGGATGTGGAGGGGACTGGTCTGGGACAGCACCCAAAGGCAGGAGGAGGCAAGGGAAGTAGCAGAGAAGGTGGGGGCATGGGCATGCATGCCAGCACGAGCAAAGGAAGCAGAATGGGAGGTGGGAGATGCAATGAGCCCTGAAGGAAGGAAGGCACTGCAGGCGGTGCTGGCCAGGTTCCGCCATGCCTTCGCCTTCACCTTGCAGGAGTTAGGGAAATGCACCGTTAAGGAGATGGAGCTGAAATTGATGACGGAGGAACCGGTGTTCCACAGGAAGCGGCGGATGACGCCAGGGGACGCGGATATCTGCAAGGAAAAATGCAAGGAGTTAATAGAGGCGGGGCTGATTCAGCGATCCGAGTCCGAGTATGCCGCGCCGACCGTGATAGTGGCTAGGAAGGACCTGATGGGGGAGATACTGAGCATGCGCATGTGCGGGGACTACAGAGCGCTTAACAAGGTGACTGTGCCAGATCGCTACCCCATGCCAGCTGCGGAGGAGATCTTTGACAGGCTGGGGGCAGGAGAGATATTCAGCATGCTAGACTTAAGGTAGGGCTTCAATCAGATTCGGATTAGGAAGGAGGACGTGCGCAAGACCGCGTTTCATGGAGCGGACCCATTGTACGAATGGCTTTTCATGCCTTTCGGGCTGAGGAACGCTTCAGCAATCTTCCAGAGGGTTATGGACAGCGTGCTGCGGAATCTGGACTGTGCCGCCTGCTACATAGATGACGTAGTCATCTTTAGCAGGACAGAAGAAGAGCACGTCAGGGACGTGGAGCGAACGCTAGAGGCGCTAGCAGCAGCGGGACTCACCTGCCACCCGAAGAAATGCAGGTGGGGAGAGGCAACGGTGCACTACCTGGGCTATGAGGTGCGGGGCGGAAAAATAGGGATCCAGAAAGCGAAAGTGGAGGTGTTAGACCGACTACAGCAGCCGAAAGACAGGACAGGACTCAGGGCAGTGTTAGGCTTCCTAAGCTACTACCGACGTTTCGTGCCCAACTTCAGTAAGCGGGCAGCAGCACTCAACGGCTTGCTACGTGAGGACAGGAAGTGGGATTGGGGGGCAGAGCAGCAGGAGGCACTGAAGGACCTCATGGAAGCAGTAAAAACAGGGACCATACTGCAGCTGCCTCAAGCGGACAAGCCATTCCGCTTGTACACTGACTGGAGCAGCCTGGGCATGGGGGGGGTGCTATGTCAGGAAGTAGATGGGGAGGAAAGGGTGGTGGCATATGCGAGCAGAAGCTGCAATCCAGCGGAGGCGGAGTATAGCTCTTACCATGATGAGGGTCTCGCAGCTGTATGGGCAGTAGGACACTTCCGGGTTTACCTGCAGGAGAGGGGATTCACCCTGGTGTCAGATCACCAGCCGCTGCAGTGGTTGATGACGCACCAGGGTCACACAGGGAGGAATGCGAGATGGGCAGTAAAACTGCAGGAATATGACTTCAAGATTCGGCATAGGCCGGGGAAGACACTCCAGCATGTGGATGGGCTTTCCAGAAACCCGCCGCCGCCAGCACCAGAGCACACGCTGATCCTATTTGCAAGGGCAGGAGAAGTGGCAGCAGCAGAGAAGCAGAAGGGGCCAAGGGATATTTGGGAGGATGCAGCAGCAATGCGATGGGTCAAGGGGGAAACGGAAGCAGACGAGCAGGTGCAAGAGAGAGTAAGGGCAAGGGGTGTTCACTACAGGTGGTACCAGCAGCAACTGCAGATACAGACGGAAGACGGCTGGAAACTGGTACCTGCACCAGAGGACAGGGAGGGGCTGATCAGGGAGGTACACAACAAGCTGGGCCATTTCGGGCATGAGAGGACTATGCAGCTGCTGAAAACTGGCTGGTGGTGGGAAGGGATGAGGAAACAGGTGAAAGAATGGGTGAGTGGGTGCGAGGGTTGTCAGCGAAGCAGGGCCAGTCTGGTCCAAACAAAGCAGGAGTTGCAGTCATTGCCGATACGTGGGCTGGGGTTCAGGTGGTCATTGGATTTGGCAGGAGAGCTGCCGCTGGGCAGGGGAGGTCAGCAGTACATCCTCCTCATGGTGGAACATGCAAGCAAATGGTTGGAGGTGCGCGCTATTCCCAGCAAGAGCTCGAAGCATGTGGCAAAGGCCTTCAAGGAGCAAGTGCTATGCCGGTTTGGAGCACCAGGGGAGGTCTTGACAGACCAAGGGAGTGAATTCAGAGGGGAGTTCCAGGCATTATTAGACCAGGCACGCGTCACGCACCGGAGGACTTCTCGGTATCATCCTCAAAGTGATGGACTCACAGAGCGGCTAGTGCAGACCTTGAAGCGGAATCTGCGGGCATACAGGGAGAAGCGGAAGAGAGACTGGGATGAGGAACTGCATTGGATTGCAGCAGGATACAGGTTCGGGAGGCAGGCATCGCTGAGGGATCACTCGCCGTATAGCCTGCTGTTCGGGCGAGAGCCAGTACTGCCAGTGGGGGCACCGCGGGTGTTAACCGACCCAGTGAGCGTGCAGGGAGAAGAGAAGTGGGTAGCACTGGCGGAAGCAAGAGCACGCTACATGAAAGAGATGCTGCCAGCCGCACTCGAGAACCTGCACACAGCACAGTTGCGGGATGCACTGAGGTACCAGCAGTGGCAGCAGAAGGGAAGAGGAAAGGGGAAGGTAGCAGTGGCGGAGGGACAAGAGGTTTATTTGAAGAGGGCCAAGCAGGATACCCTAGACGTGGGACTAGGAACCGTAAGGTGGAAGGTGAAAGCAGTACGCGACTCAGGGGTGCTGGTACTGGAGAACGAGAAGGGGGAACAGACAGTGGACCACCAGACCAATGCAGCGGTGGTGAGGAGCAGCCGGCCTCAGCTGGATGGTCCTGTGACTCGGGCCCGTGCAGCACGAGCACGAGCACAGGAGGGGGCAGGGAGTGGCTGAGAGAGGCACAAGAGAGAAGACGGGCAAGGAACAGAAGAGGGGAAGGTAATGGGGCAAAATTTGGAGCAGGGAGACAGGCAAGGGAGGGGATTCACGACAGCTGTCACAGAATTCACTGAGGGCAGTTGCAATTCATCCTGTTAACGCTAATACGGTGCAATGTGATGTGTTGTAGCATATGGAGCGGGGTGTAGAATGTTATTTGACTTGTAAGCAGGTTGGTGGACAGCAGGGAGAGTGACGCGAAGTTGGTGGCCTGGGGACCAGCGGGGCGCGCAGGAAGTGAACCCAAGAGCCTCGAGCAACTGGGGAATCACTCTGGCCAATACCAAGCTTGAGCAGCCCGAACTCAACCAGAACTCTGAGACATTGGCGACTTGGCCGAGGGTAGATTTATAGCCTAGAGAAACATCACTCGATTAGTTCTCTCGTTTGTTTACTCTCTATAGTGGATTAAGTTGCTGATCTAAGCTTTCTAAGCCAGGTGACGAGGCCACTCAGAGTAGCCAAGTGTGGGGGACGAATTCCTCAGCAGAAGAGGGGAAGACGGGCAAGGAACAGAAGAGAGGAAGGTAATGGGGCAAAAGTTGGAGCAGGGAGACAGGTAAGGGAGGGGATTCACGACAGCGACGCCTCTCCATTGCCCGAACCGAGTGAAACGTTCTCCATTGTGCACATCGTTCTGGAGAAGCATCAACCCGTCCCATCATGGTCAGTCGTATGGGATAGGTAAGTGCTACGACTCGCTCTTATCACGGCTGTCATCCCAGGGCTGACGATGCGTCATCTAGGGTGATTGGTTGTTGTCATGAAACAGGAGAACAAGTCAAATCAGCTGAATTTCACTGGAAAAGCGCGATCGGACCGTCCGTTTTCGCACGGGCCTAATCGGGTGTTGTGTACTCGACGAGGTGTCTATTTTTTTTAATGATAATTGTAAGTATATACCGAGTGTAAAAGCATATACTGACAAGAACGGTCGTAACCGTGCGTGAGGAACTAGAGGGAACCCCTTGCTCCAGATAAGATTCCTAGGGCCGAGTGTTCCTGGCCCTCCGCGCCGTCCACGATGCTGCAAAGCCGTTTGTCCACTTCAGACCTTTGCCCTCCATCCTGATTTTTCCAAGCATGTTCCACTCCTGATTTAGGGCAAGCGCTTACGTATTCAGTTCCTTTCCAGTTCATCCGTCGTGGTTCAAGATCATATAAAACGGTGCACAGCGGTTTTCAATCTCCACCGTTTTGCTCGTGATGCAATACCTTCAGAATGAGCTGTAAACGTACGCACTACGCCTTTTCATGTTTCCTTCACACATCACCTCTCGCCGGATGCTTTTCGTTCAAGCCAACTATTGTTTTCACGCAACCCCGATTATCCATCGTGAGCAATACAGTCAATTTGAACGTACAGCTCTTCTTGATCCTTGCTACTTTTGATCGTTAGGGAAGGCCACTTGCAAATGTATCTATACAGGGGGCAGAAATCAATTTTGGAAACATATGGACCAACTTACACCAGGATAACACTGCTGCTGACGCACACCTCACAGAATGCTGAACAGCACATTGCTGAGGGTACATAAAATCCCCTGTGCACCGATCACCATCAATTAACTGACCAGCAGCAAATAGATTATTGCCAGCTCATTCTGAAAAAGGCAGACCCACTGCGTATGCGTAGGCTCATTTGCGGTCTTGCTTGCTGTCTTGCTCTCTTACTTGCTGTCTTACTTGGGGCCTCACTAGTCCACCCATAGAGACCAATGCACAAGCCGACACATCAGCTGCCACTAGAGCCCACCGCCTCAGTCAATTCTGCACTCTTCTCCTTCCCTTTCTTCCCCTGCTGCTTCTTCCCCCCTGCAGCATTCCCCTTCCCCTTTCCCTTCCCCCCCTTGGCGCCCTTCCCACCAGCCTGCGCCCCTGCCTCTGCCCCCTCCTCCTCCTGCTCTATCCTTGCGAACACGGGCGCTGGCTCTGCTGTCTGCTGCCCTGCCTTAAGCCCTCCCCAGTGCGTGTTAGCCTACAGACCACCAGGGACGGGGATGGCGGGAAGTGGGCAGAGAAGGGAGGAGAGCAAGGGAGGGGAGTGAGAGGGTGGGGTGGAACATGTGGGGGCATTCCCTCCTCCCCCTGCTCTATCCTTGCTGCCCTGCCCTCAGTCCTCCCCAGTGCGGATCACCCAGGGAAGGGGATGGTGGGGAAGTGGGAGGCAGAGGGGGGTGGAGGGGCGGATTACATGGGGAGAGGAAGATTGGGAGGTGTCGATGTTGTGGTGCTGCAGGAAAGGAAGACGGCACACCTCAACTGCAAACGGTGCAGGTGAGGAGGAGGAGGAGGAGGAGGAGGAGGAGGAGGAGGAGGAGGAGGAGGAGGAGGAGGAGGAGGAGGAGGAGGAGGAGGAGGAGGAGGAGGAGGAGGAGGAGGAGGAGGAGGAGGAGGAGGAGGAGGAGGAGGAGGAGGAGGAGGAGGAGGAGGAGGAGGAGGAGGAGGAGGAGGAGGAGGAGGAGGAGGAGGAGGAGGAGGAGGAGGAGGAGGAGGAGGAGGAGGAGGAGGAGGAGGAGGAGGAGGAGGAGGAGGAGGAGGAGGAGGAGGAGGAGGAGGAGGAGGAGGAGGAGGAGGAGGAGGAGGAGGAGGAGGAGGAGGAGGAGGAGGAGGAGGAGGAGGAGGAGGAGGAGGAGGAGGAGGAGGAGGAGGAGGAGGAGGAGGAGGAGGAGGAGGAGGAGGAGGAGGAGGAGGAGGAGGAGAGGAGGAGGAGGAGAAGAAGAAGAAGAAGAAGAAGAAGAAGAAGAAGAAGAAGAAGAAGAAGAAGAAGAAGAAGAAGAAGAAGAAGAAGAAGAAGAGAAGAAGAAGAAGAAGAAGAAGAAGAAGAAGAAGAAGAAGAAGAAGAAGAAGAAGAAGAAGAAGAAGAAGAAGAAGAAGAAGAAGAAGAAGAAGAAGAAGAAGAAAACACACACACACACACACCCCTCTAAAATGGCACCACTCGATGACACTAGGCGGCATGCACTGGAATGGAATGGGGGAGATGACCGGATTCAATGCACTGTGTGCAGTTTGGAACGCACCCATTGCATGGCAGAAAACTGCTCAGCAGTGAAGCCCAGTTGCATATAAATGTTCCGAGAGAGCGTGGGCGTGATGGGGGAGAGAGCCACGGCCACACAGCGAGCCGTCTCCAACACTGCCACCAGGTCCTGATGGGTGGAGAAATGCAGGGGGGAGAGTGGGGGGGCAAGGTAGATGGGACGGGAGTTGAGAAGGGCATGTTCCAGTGGGGTTGATGGGGGGGAGCGCCACGGCCACACAGTGAGCTGTCTCCAACACTGCCACCAGATCCTGATGGGGGGAGAAAGGGGGAGTGAGGGGTAAGTGAGATGGAATGGGATGGGATGGGATGGGATGGGAGAGACATTATGCGAAGTGAGGGTGGCATGTGACAGAGTCACGGCCACACAGTGAGCCGTCTCCAACACTGCTAACAGGTCCTGATGGGGGAAAGGGTAGGGGTGGGGGGCAAGGGAGATGGGACAACGGAAAAGGCACATACTGAAGAACAGGGGTGATGGGCAACAGAGCCACGGCCACAGAGCGAGCCGCCTCCAACACTGCTAACAGGTCTTGATGGGGGAAGAAATGGAGGATGGGGAGGTGTGGGGGCAAGGGTGATGGGGGAGAGTGCCAATGCCACACAGCGAGCCATCTCCAACACTGCCACCAGGTCCTGATGGGGGAAGAAGGGGGGAATGGTGAAAGGAGTGTGGCGAAAGGCATGAGGACTTGTGCCTTTCCCCACACTCCTTTCATTGGGGAAAGTCATTCTGGAAGTGGGGTTGATGAGAGAGCCGCGGCCACACAGCGAGCCACCCCCCCAACACTGCCACCAGGTCCTGATGGGGGAAGAAAGCGAGGAGGTGTAGGAGGAGTGGGGGAAAAGGCATGAGGATGTGACATTTTAAAGAGCGATTGCGACGGGCGACAAAGCCACGGCCACACAGCGAGCCGTCTCCAACACTGCTACCAGGTCGTGGGAGGTTTAGGAGGGGAGGCGAGAGAGTGGGGGTGGAGGGACGTGGGAGAGCAGAGAAGGTAATGTGTTGAAGAGTGGGGGTGATGAGAAGAGTCGCCGGCGGCAATACCGCTGACACTGGTAACACCAGCACACAGTGAGCCATCTTTAACACAGCCGCCAGGTCCTGGGAAAGGTAGAAAAGAGAGGAGATTGCCTTATACCACACTGCACCGCATCTCAGTCATCCCAATCACCCACTCACCGCAGCCGCCTCTTCCGCATCTGCCCCTCCCTTCTTGAACTTGCTCCAAGGTGCTCTTTCCTCCAAAAACCCGTTCCCCGCTGCTGCTGGCGCCAGAATCGCCTCACACGCCCCGCTGAAGTCCAGAGCAGCATAGCACGCTGCTGCCGTTGCCATCTGTGGGGAGGAAATGAGAAGGGTTGGGGCATAGATTCGAAGTGCGATAAGGTGGGGTGGTGGTGGGGGTAGTGGTGGTGGTGGGAATGCTGCGAGCAACAGAATCGCCTCACACGCCCCACTGAAGTCCAGAGCAGCGTAGCACGCTGCTGCTGATGCTAACAGTAGAAGTGGTGGAGCGGGGTGAAAAGGGGTGCTGAAAAGGCTACTGTCGATATGCTAGTGCTCTGCTGCTGTCGCCATCTGTAGGGAGGGATTGGGGGGGTGGGGCTTTAAAGATAAGTGTGTTAAGGAGGGATGGTGGTGGTGCTTATTGTCTTATTATAGGTTCACTACTTACAAATAAGACTGCTTTTTCACATAACTTGGGTATTTCGTATATGTTCGTTATGCAACAAAACATTTCTACTTCTCATCTCATGGGCCTCTAACTCATGAAGGGATTGAAGGTGGGATACTGACAGACGCAGCAGTGGTGGTGCGGAGAGGGTGGTCGAGAGGCAGAGCAGCGGAGTCAATGCTAAGAGTGCTGCTGCAGTTCTTCTTGAGCAGACCCAGTGTACGATTCACCAGGTTGCCTGAGGGGTGAGAGAGAGAGGAGAGAGGGAGAGAGCAAGGTAGTGAGGACAGGGGGCTTGATTGTAAGAGGGAGGGGATGTGACTGTGCTGCCCCAGCTTGCGATTCACCAAGTTTCCTGTGGGGTGGGAGAGTGGAGAGAGGGAGAGGGTGACCGAGTGAGGGATGGGGGGCTGAGTGAGAGGAGAAGGGGCTGTGGCAGTGCTGCTGCAGTTCGACTTAAGGAATCCCAGCGTGTGGTTCACCAGGTTGTCTGTGAGGTGAGAGAGAGGGAGAGAAGGTGGGTGCGTGAGAAAGTGGGGGATAGAGTAAGCGAAAAAAGTAGCATTTCTTGTGAGAATTAGGCTTACTCCCTCCTGCTCCCCTCCTCCTCTCCTAACCCGCCAGTACCCAAACCCCCACACCTCCCACCCACCAATGGTGTTTGCAAGGTTTGCGTTGACGATGTTAACGAATCGCTCTTTAGAGAAGTCCCCGTCGCTGCCGAACTCAATCTCCCGCAGGAAGAAGTATCGCACCGCGTCCGCCCCAAAGGTTGTTACCAATTCGACGGGGTCGATAGTGTTTCCAAGGGACTTGCCCATCTTGTGCCCGTCCTGTGGTGGTGATGCGTGGGATGAGAGAGAACGAGGGGGGGGGGGGGAGGGGGGGATCGGGGAGGGCAAGGACAGGACGAAGCATCGCTTTTTGAGGCGCCTCAAAAAAGGGGAGGGCAAGGACAGGACGAAGCATCGCACGGCGTCGGCTCCAAAGGTTGTTACGAGCTCGTCAGGGTCGATTGTGTTGCCCACCGACTTGCCCATCTTGTGCCCGTCCTGTGGTGGTGATGCGTGGGATGGGAGGGAACAATGGGCGTGAGAGAGAGTAAGGAGAAGGACTCATCCTGGGGTGTGGGTGGGTGGCATGACATGTTGATCTTTCTTTTGAGAATTTTCAAAAGGAGGACTCACCCTGGGGTGTGGGCGGCATGACTTGCCTTGGTGAGGAACCCATGGCCAAAGACTGCGGTGCATAAAGAAACTCAAAACTTTTGACTGCTTCTGATGCGTCTCAAAACTCTTGCCTGTTTATAAGGCGCTTCAATTCAAACGGCAGCACTTGCCTTCAGAAACCATACCTTGTGATTAGGCATGAGCAACCAGCCCGGTGTGATTGACAGCTGTCACCAAGGTGTGGTGTGGTGTGGTGTGGGTAGCAATGGCATGACTTGCCTTGGTGAGGAAGCCGTGGCCAAAGACGGTGGTGGGGGTCGGCAGGCCGGCAGACATGAGCATGGCTGGCCAGTAGACCGCGTGGAAACGCAGAATGTCCTGAGGGGGTGCGAGGGGGAGGGTGAAAGGAGGGAGAGGGGCAAATGAAACAGGGCCGTTCAAGGGCCAGCAGACATGAGCATGGCTGGCCAGTAGACCGCGTGGAAACGCAGAATGTCGTGCAAAAAAGGGAGAGGAAAGGGGGAAACGGTGAAAAGGGGAGGGGGAAGGATGTCTTGCCAATGATGTGCACTCACTCACACCCCACCTTGCCACCCTCCTCACACTCTCCACCGCACTAAGAGCCTACCTTGCCTATGATGTGCACGGAGGCAGGCCACCCCCTGGAGACTGCTGTGTCTAGGCTTGGCTCATCGCCCTCCTCCAGCAGCGCTGAGATGTACCTGTGGCGTGGTGGTGAGTGGCGGGGGAATGCAGACAAGGGAGGAGAGGAGGGGGGTGAGGCAGAGATGTACCTGTGGCATGGTTGCGGCTGTGCCGTGTTGAGGCTTGGCTCATCGGTTTTTGAGTCGACTCAAAAACCGGCTCATCACACGCGGAGGAGAGGAGGGGGGTGAGGCAGGGATGACGCATGGCATGGTTGCGGCTGTGCCATGTCCAGGCTTTTGAGGCGCCTCAAAAGCTGTGCCGTGTCCAGGCTCGGCTCATCGCCCTCCTCCAATAGCCCTGAGATGTACCTGCCGTGTCGTGGTGGGTGGAGAATGGGGGAGGGGTGACGGGGTGGAGGGGTGGAGGGGAAAGAAGGGGGATCGAGGAGGGACGACGCATGGTATGCATGTTGCAGTGCCGTGTCCCTCCTCCCCTCCACCATGCTTGGCTCCCTTCGTGTCAAAGCTTGGCTCATCGCCCTCCTCCAGTAGCGTAGCGCTGAGATGTACCTGCACTGTGTGGTGTGGTGGATGGATGGGAGAGGGCAAATAACACGAGTGGAGGAGTACGACAAATGGCATGAGAGTGCTGCCCTGCCGTGTCGAGTTGGCTCATTGCCCTTTCCAACAATGCTGGGATGAGAAGGACTGAGTTTTGAGACATCTCAAAACTGCAGATTGCCCAGACTCCCCCTAGCAGAGCATCGAACCACACGTAGATGGTTTTCTACATGGGCATCCAGCACGGCACGGGAATGCCCCACCCACACAGACGTATCGTCGAATCGGAGTGAAGAGGCAGAGAGGCAGAGAGGCAGAAGCAGGCTCACCCCAGCAGCGCGTCGAACGACACATAGATGGTTTGCACCGAGGCATCTGGCACCGGGATGCCCCACGCCACGCCAGCACTGAAGCAGAGTGGCAGAGGCGAACAGGCCAAGCCAGACCCACCTCAGCTCACCCCAACAAAGCCTCAGCTCATCCCAGAATTGCCTCAACTCACCCCAGCATTGCCTCAACTCACCCCAGCATTGCCTCAACTCACCCCAGCATTGCCTCAACTCACCCCAGCATTGCCTCAACTCACCCCAGCATTGCCTCAACTCACCCCAGCATTGCCTCAGCTCACCCCAGCATTGCCTCAAGCTCACCCCAGCATTGCCTCAGCTCACCCCAGCATTGCCTCAGCTCACCCCAGCATTGCCTCAGCTCACCCCAGCATTGCCTCAGCTCACCCCAGCATTGCCTCAACTCACCCCAGCATTGCCTCAACTCACCCCAGCATTGCCTCAACTCACCCCAGCATTGCCTCAACTCACCCCAGCATTGCCTCAACTCACCCCAGCATTGCCTCAACTCACCCCAGCATTGCCTCAGCTCACCCCAGCATTGCCTCAACTCACCCCAGCATTGCCTCAGCTCACCCCAGCATTGCCTCAACTCACCCCAGCATTGCCTCAACTCACCCCAGCATTGCCTCAACTCACCCCAGCAAAGCCTCAACTCACCCCAGCATTGCCTCAGCTCACCCCAGCATTGCCTCAACTCACCCCAGCATTGCCTCAGCTCACCCCAGCATTGCCTCAGCTCACCCCAGCATTGCCTCAGCTCACCCCAGCATTGCCTCAGCTCACCCCAGCAGAGCGTCGAACCACATGTAGATGGTCTGCTCTGAGACGTCTGACACGGCATGGGATGGGAATGAATGACCCCACGCCACCGCTGAGGAGCATAGGCAGTGTGGCAGCATAGGCAGTACAGTGTGGCAGCATAGGCAGTGTGGCAGCATAGGCAGTGTGGCAGCATAGGCAGTGTGGCAGCATAGGCAGTGTGGCAGCATAGGCAGTGTGGCAGCATAGGCAGTGTGGCAGCATATACAGTGTGGCAGCATAGGCAGTGTGGCAGCATAGGCAGTGTGGCAGCATAGGCAGTGTGGCAGCATATGCAGTGTGGCAGCATAGGCAGTGTGGCAGCATAGGCAGTGTGGCAGCATAGGCAGTGTGGCAGCATAGGCAGTGTGGCAGACGCAAACGGGCAAAGCCAGACTCACCCCAGTTGATCATCGAACCACACATGGATGGTTTGCTCTGGGACGTCCGCGGACAAGAGATGACTTTTGAGGCGCCTCAAAACCAAACTTACCCCAACAGAGAGTCGAACCACAAGTAGAGATGGTCTGCTCTGGGACATCTGACACGGGGATGCCCCATGCGACTGCTACTCTGCTGATGCTGAAATCGCTTGCTCCCTCCGCCACGCTTTTGGTAGCGGTAAGCAGACCACCCCTAGAAAGGTCAACTCACCCCAGCAGAGCGTCGAACCACACGTATATGGTTTGCTCTGGCACGTCTGGCACGGGAATGCCCCATGTCACTGCCGCCCGGCTGATGCTGAAATCCCTCGCTCCCTCTGCCACCCACGCCAACACCTGATGGGTCGAGCGGGAGAGGAAAATAAAGGCAACGTCTGAAGACTAGGAAATGAGGGGGCGGAATCACTTTTGAGAATTCTCAAAAGTGAACACTAGGAAATGAGGGGGCGGAATCACTTTTGAGAATTCTCAAAAGTGAACACTAGGAAATGAGGGGGCGGAATCACTTTTGAGAATTCTCAAAAGTGAACACTAGGAAATGAGGGGGCGGAATCACTTTTGAGAAATCTCAAAAGTGCACTAGGAAATGAGGGGGCGGAATCACTTTGAGAAATCTCAAAAGTGAACACTAGGAAATGAGGGGGCGGAATCACTTTTGAGAAATCTCAAAAGTGAACACTAGGAAATAAGGGGGCGGAATCACTTGAAGCGAGGGGGTGCACCTGGAGCTGCACGAGGCTTATCCTGAAACAGCTGCCCCAGGTCGTGTTGGTGCGAGGAGAGCACAAAGAAGATGTCGCTTGTTCACTAGGCCAGCTTCCCTCTTCTTCCCACCATGTTCGCTTGTCACCCCCTCTCCCCTCCCCTTTTTACTTCCCCAGTCACCTCATTCTTTCTGAAGCCCGGTTGCACAAACCCACGTGATATGAGTAACTTCTTCAGACGTCTCAAAAAGTTACCCAGGCGTCTCCTCAAAAAAGCTGCTCCAGGCCATGTTGATGTGAGGAGAGAGCAAAGAAGAGGTTGGTTGCATGTTCACTGAGTCACCTCCCCTCACTCCACCATGTTCGCTTGTCTCCAACTCTCCTCCTCTCCCGTGTCCTTCCCCCGTCACCTTCCACTCACCTCATTCTTTCTAAAGCTCGGCTGCACGAAGGCAGGCCGGTCATAAAACAGCCGCTCCACCGTGTGTTGGTGTGAGGAGAGAGCAAAGAAGAGGCTGGTTCTTCAGCAGGTCAACTACCCGCCACCTCTACCCTTTACTTCCTCAATCTCCTCACTCACCTCGTTCTTTCTGAAGCTCGGCTGCACGAAAGCAGGTCTGTCTTGGAACAGTTGTTCCAGGTCGTGCTGGTGCGAGGAGAGAGCGAAGAAGAGGCTATTTGTTCACCAGGTCACCCCCCCCTCCCCCCTTGAGACGCTGCTCACAAGCAGCACTCACCTCGTTCTTTCTGAAGCTCGGCTGCACGAAATCAGGTCTTTCTTGGAAAATCTTCTCCAGGTCATGCTGGTGCGAGGAGAGCGCAAAGAAGAGGTTGTCCTCGCTGCGGTGCTCGCAGGGCGTTAAGTGCGTGGGACAGGTGGTGCCTTCTACCAACTCCTTCTCGTCCTGGTGAGGAGGGGTGTTGGCAGCATGTGGAAGCAGAGGGGGGAGAAAAGGGGAGAGGGCTCAAAGGAAGAAGAGGTTGTACTCGCTGCGGTGCTCGCAGGGCATGAGGTGCGTGGGGCCATGGTGCCTTCTACCAACTCCTCTTCGTCCTGGTGGGAAATTAGTTGGGAGCATGTGCAAGCAGAGAAGGAAGGGAGAGGCAACGCAAAGAAGAGGTTGTCCTCGCTGCGGTGCTCACAGGGAGTGAGGTGCATGGGACAGGTGGTGCCTTCTACCAACTCCTTCTCGTCCTGGTAGGGAGGGGTGTTGGCATCACGTGGAATCAGAGGAGGGAAGGAAGGAGAGAGAGGATAAGAGGGGGTTGGCGAAAAGCTGGCCTTACTGCGGTGCTCACAGGAGGTCAGATGCGTGGGACACGTGGTGCCATCCCCTAGCTCCTTCTCGTCCTGGAAAAGGGGGGCGTTGGCAGCATTTGGAAACAGAGGAAGAGGGGTTTCAGATGCGTGGAGCACACGTGGTGCCATGTGTCTCTCATTCAAATGCCACGCCATCCATCAAACAACTATTTGTCCCACCTTGTGCTCCTCCTCACTCACTACCAATGCAGTAGCGTCCCTTGTACTCGGGGAAATACATGTCCCCCCGTGCCTTCACACACTCATAGAACTGCCCTATCTTGTACTCGTTACAAGCATCTCCCTTCTCTCACCCTGTACTCCTCGCATGTTATGCAGTAGAGCCATTCATACTGAGCACGATAGACATCCCCCCGTGCCTTCTCCCGCTAGTAGAACTGCCCTCTCTTGTACTCGTTATAAGCACCTCCCTCACCACTCCTCACAGGCAATGCAATAGCGCCCCTCACCTGCACCCGCTCACAGAACTGCCCTGTCTTGCCTTGTACTCGTTACAAGCATCTGCCTATCTCACCTTATACTCCTCGCAGGCAATGCAGTAGCGCCCCTCGTACTGCGCCCGGTACACGTCGCCCCTCGCCTTGACTCGATCGTAGAACTGCCGCACCACTGCCTCGTGGCGAGGCGAGGTGGTTCGGATGAACCGATCATAGGCAATGTCCAGCTGGAGTGGTGGAGAGGGGTGGAGAGGGGTGGAAGGGGAAGAGATGGGGGAATGAGGGGCATACGGTACATGGGATGGGAATGAAGCTGCCACCCCTATGCCTGACCGAACTGCCACACCACTGCCTTGTGGCAGGGTGAGGGTGTTGAGATGAATCGATCATTGGCAATGTGTAGCTGGTTGGTAGGGGTTGGAATGGAAGGGCGGGAGCATGGGGGAGATTGAGGGAGGAGAAACGAGAGAAACGAAGGGATGAGGTGAAAGCAGCCTTCACGCGCTCATAGAATGGCCGCACTGCGGGTTCATGGCGGGGAGAGGTGCGGCGGATGAATCGATCATAGGCGATGTGCAGCTGGTAGGGGTTGGAATGGAAGGGGAGATGAGGGGCGAGAGACAGGAGAGGGAAATGAACTGAGACTGCCTGCCGCCCTGCCACTGACAGAGCTGCCACACCACGGTTGAGAATTCTCAAAAGTGATTTCAGCACTACTGACAGTGCTGCTGAGCCGTGCGCCCATTCTTGGCCACCGCCAGGGCGATCTTCTCACCATGTGACGTCTACCCACCCAGCCCCTGTACACCCCTCCCCACCACTCCCCACCACTCCCCACCACTCCCAACCTCTCCCAGACTTGTTTCACCGCTTCGCACCTTGCTCCACAGCTGCTTGTACTCCTCAGCAACAGCATCGCAGTGCTGCTGCGGGGTGCGCCCATTCTTGGCCGCCGCCAGGGCGATCTTCTCCCCGTGCTCGTCCGTGCCCGTCACAAACGTCACCTGCTTGCCTTGCAGCCGCTGCAGTGGTTATAAGTGCGAGAATTGTGGGGAGGTGGGGATATGTCAACATGTGCCAGAGCAATCTTCTCTCCATGCTCGTCCGTGCCCGTCACAAATGTCACGTCCTTGCCTTGCAACCGCTGTAACGAGTGGGTCAAATGGGTCAAAGTGGGTCAAGTTGGTTAAGAACGTGTCAGTTCGATCTTCTCCCCGTGCTCGTCCGTGCCCGTCACAAACGTCGCCTCCTTGCCTTGCAGGCGCTGTAGCAGGGGTGAGGGATGGGTCAGAGTGGGTCAAAGTGGGTCAGAGTGGGTCAGAACGTGCCGGAGCATTCTTCTCCCCGTGCTCGTCTGTGCCCGTGACAAACGTCACGTCCCTGCCTTGCAGCCGCTGCAATGATGGGGTGGACGAGGGGGGAGATGCGGGGAGGTGGGTGGGACGTGTTCAGCAGACATGTCTTGAGACGTCTCAAAACTCGATGATGGGGTGGGCCGAGGGGGAAAATTAGTGAGGCGTCTCAAAATCGACCTCAATGGGTGGGACGTGTTCAACAGACGTGTTTTGAGACGTCTCAAACCTCGATGATGGGGTGGGCGAAGAGGAGAAAATGCGTGGACGTGGGTGGGATCAATGGGATGCCTTTATTTAACAGACATGCCCGTGCGATCTTCTCCCTGTGCTTGTTCGTACCCTGTCACGAAAGCCGTTGCAGTCGCTAGAGCGGATTGGAGTGGGGGACGGAGGGGATTGGGTCAACGTGGGTCAACGAGGGGTCAACGTGGGTAGACATCGCACCTGAAAGCGCGCTAGTGCGTCAGTGGCAATAGTGGGGTAAGCGGACCCCATGTGCGGTGCCACTCTCTCCTCTTCCACCGCATTGCAACCGCTCCCAACGTATTACGTACCGTCACCTAACTCCCTCATCGCACCTGAAAGCGCGCTAGTGCGTCGGCGGCTATAGTGGGGTAAGCGGATCCCATGTGCGGCGCCGCGTTCACATAGTACAGCGGCGTCGTCACCACGAACCGCTCGCGCGCCGCCGCCTTGCTCCTCCCCTCCCGTTGTGCTGCATCGCGCCGCCCTCGCGCGCCTCGGTACTAGGCGTGCCGTGGACCAGATCCCGCCGAGCCGCGAGGAGAGCGCGATAGGACGGTAGTGGGTGGAGCTAGAGAGGTAGTGAGGTGTGCGGAGCGGTGGGGTGAAGGGTGGACGATAACCGCGAGGCTGCTGCAGGAGGCTTCGAGGAACTTTCGTGATGGTGGATGGAAGGGAATGAGGAGCGATTCAGAGAGGGGGAGAGAGCGGCTCGGGAAGACGAACTAATCATTGTGGCGGGCGTTGCGGCGGATGCAGCGCAGGGTGTTGCGGCGGCTATTGCAAGATTCGCCGCGGCGCGAGCCGGCGGAAATGCCGTGGAAGGCGGAAACGACAGACGCGGCGGAGGGCGGAGAAAGGGCGCGGACGGGCGGAAAAAAGGGCGCGGAGGTGCGGAGAAAAGGCGCGGAAGCGTTGATTGCGGAGGCGAAATGGGCTATGCGGCGACACAAGAGCCCTGAAGAGCGGCGACGATACGCGCATCGACCGACGCGCGCGACGCGACGGATGCGGCGGGGTCAATGGGATCGAAGGGATGCGATGGACTCTTGGGTTCGTCGCGTCCTACACACCGCCTTTGGCAATTCGCCAATCACGAGTCTCAGCGGCTTCTGCCAAGTCAGGGTGCTGCTGGATAAAAGACCTGAAGGTCGGTTTGCTAACTGCCTCGAAGTTGACTGGCCCGGCTTGTTAGTGGTTTTAATCGCGGTCTGCAACGTGGAAGCCGCTGAGACTACCAACGCTGACGTGGAACGGAGGCAGCAAAGTCGTGGCTTGGGCGTGAACCAGTCATGGACATCCTCGTTTGAGCCGTTAGCGAATATTAAAATGTAATGAGTGTAGATGTGCAAGGCCTAACAACTGCAAAAGTGGCATGCTAAATTCAAGTCCAGCCACGCCCAAGCGAAGGCACATGTGCGGTTACATTTCGTGTCGTCGCGAACATGTGGTTCTCGTCCCGTTCCGTGCCAGCTCAACCAGTCGGGGTCACAAATGTGTACGGCGTGGTCCCGAGGGCGAATCTCGCAAATCTCGCACAATTGATGAGTTCATCTCTCCCTAAGACCAGCTTACACCGCTTTAGACCGTATAATGGTCGTTCTGAAACAGACATCACCTCACTACACCCAGGGTCATTCACCCAGGTTCTTTTGAACAAATAATGTGGAATATTCAAGCAATGCAAGCAGATTGTTTTTGCTCCAATCCGCACCTCCCATTTCGCCTCTCTCACAGAATCTCACTGATCTGTTGTTGTTTCTCTCTAACTCTGCCCCTTATCCGCTCCTTTCTATCCTCTCCTTTCGCTGCGCGACTGGTTTAGTAACGGCACGACACGTGGCGTAACTGCCGCCTCCCGATCTATCAGCGGTTGGATTCTTGAGCACTAGGAGGGCGACCCGAATCGTCGTCGTCGTCTGATCGTCCAGTCGAGTCAAGCGACACCCGTCGCACGTGTCGCACGCGTCGCCATGGGGTGGTACACGTCGCTCATCGTGCTCGTCGTCGCCGTCGCCGCGGCGGCCGTTCTCACGCCCGACGCCATGGTGCGTGCGTCTCTTGCCTCTCGTCTCTCGTCTCTCTCCTCTCACAGCTCCCTTATTGTTCACACGCGCATCTCGTACCCGACGCCTTGATGCGCGCGCGCGGCCCCCCCCCCCCCTCCCCCCTTCCCCCTTTTTTCCCTTCTCCCCTACACGGCCGCGTGCGTCACTCGTTTTTCTCTCACAGCTCCCCTACCGTGCATCGCGCACGTCGTAGCCGACGCCATGGTGCGTGCGCGCAAGACTTTCCCCTCGCGCTGCTCATGCCTCCGCTGTGTTCTCTGTGTACCTGCGGATGGCGTTTTTCCCCCTCCTCGTCTTCTGAGGCGCCTCTTTTTTTAGGAGTTTTTAGGCGCGTAAAAAATCGCCGTGCTTTCTGTGTACTGCGGATTTCGTTTTCCCCTCCTCGTCTTCCTACGTCTTGTCTTCCGTCATCTCCACTTTCTTCTCTCCGTCCCCCCGGCCCCTTTCCCCCTCCAGCTACCATACGGCCGCGGTGCCAAGCCCAGCGCTGCTCTGCTGTTTCCGTGGCTCTGATGCGCTCGTCCTCAAACCTCCTTCCCTCCGGCCCCTTTACCCACTTCCAGCTACCATACGGCCGCGGTGCCAAGCCCAACGTCCCCTTCCTCTCACCCACAGTGTTCGCAGCGCTACGGTTTGTGCACGTGCTGTGCTGCCCTGTGGCTCTGACGCTCTTCTCCTCAACCCTCTGTCCCTCCTCCCCGCTCCCCCATGCAGCTGCCATACCGCGCCAAGCCCAGCGCCCCCTTCCTCTCGCCCACGGCGTTCGCAGCGCTGCGCTTCGACCACGTGCCGTGCTTGCTCCGTGGCTCTGACGTGCCCTCTCTTTTTCCGTTTTCCCTCTCTTCTTCCATTCTTCCCTCACTCCCGTCCTCCCTGCAGCTGCCATACCGCGCCAAACCCAACGCCCCCTTCCTCTCGCCGACAGCGTTGGCAGTGCTGCGCTTCGCCCACGTGCTGTGCTGCTCCGTGGCTCTGGGGCGTCGGTGTGGGTGACCTTCTTTGCTGGCGTCATCATGTTCCGGTGCGATGCGAGCTGGGGGGTGGGAGTAGCTGGGGGGTGGGAGTAGCTGGGGGGTGGGAGTAGCTGGGGGATGCGATGTTCAGGTAGGTGGGCGGCACAGACACATGCTCCGTGGCTCTGGGGGCGAGAGAGCAGTGAGTTGTGAGAGCAGGTGCGAGGGAGATGAGAGGCGGGTCAAAGGGAGGGACACATGGGTCACTGCTGCTGGGATATGAGCGGCAGGTCACCTTCTTTGCTGGCGTTTAGATGTTCCTGTGAGAGGTGGAGGCAGAGAGATGAGAGATGGGAGCCGGGAGAAGGTATACGTGAGAGAGTAGCTCCGAGGGGGATAGCAGAAACAGGGGGCCCACTTCCCCCTCCATACACACCCCCACACAGCCACCTCCCCCGCCACACCTTCGGCAGCATCCAGGATCGTCTCTTCCCAGCCTACTTCCGCCTTGTGGGCTCTCTTTCAATCACTCACCCTCCCTCCCTTCCCCCCCCCGCGCAGCCACCTCCCCCTCCACACCTTCGGCTCGGCAGCATCCAGGGCCGCCGTTTCCACTCACCTTGGCTCTCTGCCTTCCTCCCCTCCCTCCCTCCTCTTTCCCCCACACCCCCACACAGCCACCTGCCCCGCCACACCTTTGGCAGCATCCAGGGTCGTCTCTTCCCGGCCTACTTCCGCCTTATGGCCCTCTCCTCTGCCCTCTCTGCCCTTGCTCTCAAACTCACTCTCAAACCCCGCCGCTGCTGCTGCCGCTGGTGAAGCTGCTGGTTCCGGGGCAGGGGGGGTTGCAGCAGGTGCAGCTGCTGCTGCTGGTGGCTGCTCTTTCTGCCGCACTGCTGAATCTGCTGCTGTTCGAGCCTATCACCACCAAGGTGGGTTGGGATATAGGTACTTAGGCAGTCATGCTGTATTTGGAACCACAGCAAACAAATCAGATATGCTGCTGACTTCTGAGGCGTCTCAAAAGTCAATGCTATACTTGGAGCCAAATGAGCCGTATGTGCTGAATGAGCTGAATCAAATATGCTGCTGCTACTACCTGCGCTTGCTGTCTCTGCACTCTGTTGAATCTGCTCACTCTGCTCACTCTCCTCACTCCGCTGTTGCTCGAGCCTGTGACCACCAACGTGCATCCGTGCTTTCACCCCTCACCCCCCTCTCCTGAGTCATGCCCTCATCGCCTCGTTCCCTACACAGATCATGCAGGGGAGGCATGGCATAGAGGAGCAGGGAGGAATCAAGGATGAGGCGGGCGACTTTTGGGACGTTTCAAAAGTTCTTCTAGGTGCATTTTGAGGCGGTCTTTTAAGCGCCTCAAAAGTCGACTTTTGAGACGTCTCAAGGGGCACGGCATAGAGGAGG